CTTTACCTGCGGATGTCTATTCAACAGAGCAGTGCTTGCATAGCTCCTCACGTTCTTTGTAAAAGAGTAGCACCATGTAAAAGCCAAGCAGACTGCATACATATTACACTTGACCCTCAAGGAGTTACACAGCCTTTCTTGGTTTATGTTTTAAGGCCTGGTCTACCCAGATGGTGATGCTACAGGTTGAACCTCTCTAGTCCGGCAACCTCCATGGTCTGGCATGATTTGAGTTAGCTGGGATGTCCACTTATTGTGGGTATGGCCAAGTTTCCCGTGGTCCCATAAAGTTTGTTTACAGTCACCAGTCCTAGCTCTCAGTGTCCTGTGCTGTTCTTTAGCTCTAATTTACCCCTAAATGTCTTCTAAGAGCCCAGTAAGCAGTGGAAATGTGAGTAAAGCTGCTACACAATATTGACTTCCCATAGTTGGGTAGATTCTCTGGTTTGGCACCGGTCAAGTCCCCAGGTTGCAGGACTAGAGAGGTTCAACCTACAACTATTTTGGTTAGTGGTGTGATTTATTTTACCGGCAGTTAGACTGATATAAATGGGCTTATACTAGTGTAGCTATTTTCCCTATGGAAATAAGTTTTATAGGTATAATTGAGCCCACACAAAGGGTATGGCAGGGATGCTGGGATTGACAGTGAGATTGTAACTGTTCATCTAAAAATTGCTGGTTCAACTGAGTATTAATAACATAGGGTACGTCTACACTAGCCCCCTAGATCAATCTAGGGAGGCTAATGAGGGCGACTGGAATTGCAAATCAAGCCCAGGATTTAAATATCCTGCACTTGATTTGCATGTTCCCGTCCGGTCGCCATTTTAGAAATTGACTAGCCCGAAGTAACTGCCCGTGTCTACACATGGCAGTGAAACAGGATTCCAAATTAAAGCCGTTACCTGAATTAGCTGGTATTCCTTCTGCAATGGGGTTTACAGCTAATTCAGATTAGGGGCTTTAAATCGGAATCCCGTTTCACTGCCGTGTGTAGACGCGGGCAGTTACTTCGGGCTAGTCAATTTCTAAAATGGGCGACCAGCCGGGAACATGCAAATTAAGCACGGGATATTTAAATCCCACGCTTCATTTGCAATTCTGGTCGCCCTCATTAGCTTCCCTAGATCGATCTAGGGGGCTAGTGTAGATGTTCCCATAGAGATTTTCCTGTTGGGAAGTGCTCAGTTTATATTATTTTAACAATACCTTTTCTTTTCTTGGAATCAATGTGAATTGTCCAAAATTTCAGTGCAACAGCAAAGTGCCAGTCGAGTTAAACCAGTACAACCTGTGAATAAATAAGGCAAATGAAAAACTGGCATTTTTCCTTCAGACATTTAATACCTCGAGAAATACTTTCCATATCTGAGAGTATTTACAAACAATCAATTTGTCTTGCAAACAGTAGAAAGCCTTATTGGGGCTTCTGTTAGACTTAGGTTTAGAAGTCACCTTTTCAATGTTTTAATTCCCCACCAATATTTTCTTCTCGATTAATAAACGTTGGATGGAAATTAATGAGTGGATATAAATGACTTATTTGTAGCTCTGGAGCATAATAATATATGTCTTTTGCCTTCCCGGCTCTGTGAAATTGATTTCATGTACTATTCTCTAATTGTAATCTAATTATCTCATCTAATCAATTATCTAATTGTAATCTTTCATAGAAATTTTGTTTCTAAAATGCAAACCTTGAATTTACCAGCCAGGAGAAAAAGCTCATGCATTTGTTATCTGAGACTATATTTTATGCTTTACGGTAACATTTGTTTTATGTTAGTTGACGTTAGTTGCCTAAAACTTTCAGTGCAATGGCAAAATACTTTCCACATCTTTTCCATCCTTTTTCCACATACAGCTAGTAAATGATGTGCCATTTTAGGCATATTAGGAAAGGGCGTGTAATTCCATTTGTAAGTGCAAATAGAAACAACTTGCCTGATCGTAACAGAAACAAATCTAACATAGTTTGTAATTTCTACTGGCCGCTTTTAGCCCACGATCTCTGAAATGCTGCACAGACACAAGCCAAGACTCCCAAGCCCCCTGGTGAGATAGATAGGAAGAAGAATGATTTCACACACGGAAGTTGAAGCACAGATACATAGGTCCTACACTCCATGAGTTGTGGAAAGCTTAGTTTTTGGTGCACAGTGTAAACATTTAAGAATCTGCATCTGGGAACTCAGATGAATGGTCTCCTTGAAAATTTGTGGCCAGAGTCCTACAATTAGTCAGGTGCCAAGCACACAACTCAAGGCGTCTGATGGTGGGATCTAGGCTCTAAACACTAGACTATAGTCAACTTGAGACAATTAGTGGGTTGTTACTAAGGATGCAAAATCCTGTTCAATTAATTAACTGGTTAAACATTAACCTTTAACCAGTTAACTGATTAAACAGGAGAAGAGGGCTGCTCCAAATGGTTAACTGTTACCTGGTAAGCATCAGCTGTTAAAGGTGATGCTTACCGGGTAACCGGTTGCCTGGTTACTCATCCACATGCCTATTCGTTACTAGTCTGAAATATCCGACTTCCACTTCAACACACTGAAATTGCACAAAGCTATGTTGAAAACACTGTGACAATAGGAAGGGCCAGTCCAGGTATTTTGTGCCCATTGAATAGTTCAATTTGTCTCCCTACTTATGGTGGCACCGACGTACTTAGAAAACTTCAGAGCACATTTTTCACCCGACGAGACTGACCGCTAAAGGAGAAATAGGAAGGAAATAGGAACATTGAAAAAAGTCACATCATATGTAGTTCTCCTGGGTTTGTAGCAAGCAATTAAGCCAATTAATTTATTGGTAAATTATCCCATGATGAATTACAGAATAACTGCAATGAAACTCTGACAGTCGCATTAATACCAAATTAGTTACTGTATCATGACTGTTCTTACAATGAATGCCCAGCAATTTAATAATAATGGGACACTTAAATAATTTAACCGATATCTCTGTAGATCACTCACATCTATAAATGAGCATGACAGCTCCGTTCCTCTGCTTTGCTGCTTAGCTTCCTGCACCGCACAGAATGAACAATTCTCGCAGCGGAACAGCGGCACACGTTTTCACGGGGATTCCGTCGGGAGTCGTAAAATGGAGAAATCAGCAAGGGATTGTGTTACGCTGCTGAAGTTGAACATAACTAGACTGTTGCGAGAAGTTGGTGGAGCTGAGGGCAAAATTTGTTCCAATTAGTTGTAACTACAGAGAGTGGCTACATTAATTAGCAATGTCATTTTTCTTTTTTTGCGCCGGGACCTCTTCAGGAAGGATAGGTGGAGATTCTTTTGTTTGGCGTGTGTTAAAATCAGGAGGCCCGACTTGGTAAACCTATCAACAGGCTGCAGCGGAGCGTCTGTAAAAAAAACGACACCAAATGTTGCAGTTGTTCTGGGCAAGTGATTAAATAAAGGACACACATCATGCTCATAGAATCTCATTGTTCACTACGTGTCAAGATGCTAGGAGCCCGGGGACTAATTACCAACGGGCTTCCAACTGCTCCAGATGGGGTGGGGAAAATGAAGCCTGCGCAAAGACAGAGCTTGGTTTTGGCTCTGAAAATTGCCAGGCTTGGACGGATTCCTACTTGGAATTATTTCATTTCCATTGAGCATAGGACAGATGAGTCAGTGCATTGGGTGGTGAACTGAGCCTCTGAAAACATGGGTTCTATTTCAGCTCAGCCACAAAATTCTTGTGGGAACTCGGGTAGGTCCTTCAATCCTCCCAATATCTCAATGCCCACTAGTAAACCTGGGGATATTTCCTCACGGGGTAAGTAATCAGGTTAAGAAAACATGAATGATGGGAGCTACTCCGGGACTGTAATGGTTAGGGCCAAATGAGGCCTATTTCTGAAGCATCGTCAGCTGTAGATTCATAGAAGACTAGGGTTGGAAGAGAGCTCAGGAGGTCATCTAGTCCAACCCCCTGCTCTAAGCCGATGTACTAGATGTAGCAGTGACTCAATGGGCCTATACTGCCCCATCTCTGTGGAAGGAAACAGAGGGTTCATTAAACCAGAATCAACTAGTTCTTCCCTGTGTGCTCAGGGACATGATCTCCCAAATCCTCTTTTATGCAGATAGTTTCTCACATAAGCTTTTTTAGACTTACGCATATTTTCTTGTTGCAAGCTTCCATGTACGCAAAGCACGACCCCAGTCCTGCAGAGACTTGAGTGCATGTCACGATGTCATACAAATGAGATGTCTCTCTGAAGACAATGGATTGGTTCTGTCGAAATCAATGGACTTGCTCATGCGTATAATGTCTTTGCAGGGCGAGGGCCTGTGCTATACACTGTGCATATTTTTGAAAAACTTTGTGCAGGCCAGGTCAAATTTAGCCTAAAATCTAGCACCAATAGGGTTTCCAGGTGTCTGGTTTTGAACTGGATAGGCCAGTATTTGAGCTTTTTGTTCGGGAAACAAATTGAGAAAATAGAAATGAGAAAATAGAAATGTCTCAGGTATTTTCTAAATAAGATGTAATGTAGATTGTGATGTGATGTAATGTTAGGCGTGTCCCATATTTTTGTTGAAACCATCTTGCAACCCAAAGCACCAATAGAAGCATTTCCATGGCTTCTTAAAGTTCCAACCTTTGCAAGAAGACTTTTTCTTTGCAACTGTTGGCAACTGAATACTGCAGCACTGTGGTTTGAGCTAGTCAAATACCACAAGACAGTGTTCACCAACATTCTTTGAAATAAAAACCCCCAAAGTGAATTTCCCCAGGGTATGATGCTTTTTGTGTTTTCTACTACATTTGTGTGGGTGAATGTTTGTGCATGGTGACTCTGTAACTAACTGTGGGAGACCACAGTGGCCTGTGTGGTAACAGCCCATGGTCAGACAAAAATTGAACAGAGCCTTTGTAACAAGTTTATTTAGAATTATAATACACTAGACATACAGGTACAGAAAGCAGTTAGTTTTATAAACATCTAAGTCATAAAGCATCTAAGTTATTAAAATAAAAATAATCAAAGGCTCTTAACACAACATCAGGGTTTAAGCAAAATTCCTCATTAAAATCAGTAAGAAGTTTTGCCTACGACATGAATGGTATAAGTCCTAAGTAACTTTTAAAAGCTTTTAGAAACTTGAGAAAGTCAGTGGTCATTCGCTAGTCATCTCTTGGGAATTAAATGTCACACTGGTGTCTCGTCCTGTTGGCAGCTGTGATTTCATGGAACACACAGATATACACTTCCCTCTTCACAGGGATGAATCAAGAAGTTTCCTGGGATGTATTGCCAGGTGAGACCTTCTCAAGGAAATACATTACTTCTTCTTCTTTTTCCCTTTCTTTCCTTCCTTCTTTTTCCCTTTCTCTTTTCCTTTTCCTTTCCCTTTTCCTTTCCCTTGTTCGACTTCCTCGCCTACCATCAGTTCTCGGGCTCGAGCTTTCCCCAGGGGTGTCTTGGCATACCAAACCTGGAGAAGCAAATCAGATTAGAGTTGGAAGAGCGCTCAGGAGATCATCTGTTCAAAGCAGGGGGTTTGACTAGATGGAGTAGCGATTCAACAGGCCTGTCCGTCGCCTCCCCAGGAAAAAAAGGAAGGGGAGGAAAAAAAAGCATGAAAGAACATTTAAGTAACGTTTGCATCTACGATAGAGTGTTCCTATCAAAAACCTTACAACCCTGGTTGGCTTGCAGAGAAGCTGAAACAAGATCTCTTAGAACTCTTGAGTACACTCTTATAACAAGAAGTGCAGCAATCATCCGCTTGCAGAGTCCCTCATTAACATGAATACTTAATGGTGTGTCATTTGTGTTGCTATGGTTATGGGAATGGTAGAACTTCTATGATCAACTCTATTTCCAAGGGTATGTAGGTCTTGCAAAATTGCCTCTGATCTGAAACTTGGCAGTTTACAAGCGCATACTTTTTCCAGTAGTTCTCCAAATGTGTTGCGCTGATTTTAATTTCAGTGGGAAAGCGAAACAAATAATTTTGAAAAAGCCGTGTATTGGTTTCATGTGCATATTCGTAGTCCTGTATCTTCTAAATGGGTTAGTTTGGGTTGCTTGGCAAACTTGCGAAGCTCTTGGACTGGCGTCTCAATACGAGCTCTCTGCGATATGTTACAATAATAAAAAATGGCTGACCGTTTAATATTTGAAAATCAGTTGTGCGCATGAAATAACGTTTCCCCAGACCTGAAGTGTCTGTGTCTGTGTTAACAATGTCATGGTCCGTTCTGTCTGGACTGGATTTGGCTTTTTTCCTCTCAAAGGACCGATGGCTTGACTTCTAACTCTCACCTCAGAATCCTACTTAGGTCAGCTCCCATCTCTCTTTGCCTCCACACTTACACCTGCAGCACCTCCATTCACCCTGGTGGGGCTTGGAGTGTCTTGAGAATTAAACGCTTTAAACAGGTAAACAAAACGCCTCAGTAGCGACATGGGCAGCCAGCAGTGGAGTAGCTATAATAATGTGCTCCACACTCCTGCCATTCTGACCGAATAGAACACCTGCTCTTCAAGTCTCCCTTTCCAACTCTCTCTGCTGCCCTGGCATTATACAGTGTCTCCTTCTAACTAGGGATAACCAATTGGCTGGTTACCCACTAAGCATACTGGGGTAACCAGTTAAGCAGTGCTCGGCCCGGGTGGCTCCTCTAGCCCGGCCAGGCCCACCATGCCGTGCCGCAGGCGGGAGCTGCTCCAGCCCAGTCAGGCCGGAGCAGCCGCTGTGGGTGAGAGGCTGGGCCCGCTGTGCCACGCCATGGGCAGGCTGTTAACTGGTTTAACGTAGAGTTGAACCGGTTAACATTTTCAATGGGATTTTTGCATCCCTAACCCAAACCGAGGTGGGTGTGAATACGTTACCTGGCCTGTACTTGGCGGGGAGGGGCTGTTGGTGGGTTGGGGACAAACTTTTGAGGGGTGGCCCCTTGAAGCCTTGACTTCTCTGAAGAAATTCTGTGTGGGTGATGGAATTCTTAGGACCAGCTGAGACTCATCTCTGAATGGTCCCGGGAAGGCCATTTGGTAATCATCCGCCCTGTGCCATGGCACAAAAACAGGCTGAGCCCCCGTACACTGGTGAGGCCAGCACGAGCAATGAGGAGACATAGCGACTCTAATCCAGAGAGACATTCAGTGCTAATTCCAATCCAGTGCAGACACAGTGTCAGATGCACCTGGACAGGCCGTGTCTGGTTGGAATTAGAGGGCACACCCGTGAGAGGGGAGTGAGAACGCCGAAAGGGAGAGCCAAAAGAGCCCTGTGAACATGGGGTTAATTTCACCTTGTACGTTTCTTCTTCCTCTTGGTACACTGGATCCTGCCTGGCAAGGGAGCTCAGGAACTCAGCGGCTATCAGCGGCTTGTGATTCATCTGCCGGAGGCGTCGCTCACTGAGGATGGTTTGCACGGCATAGATGATGTGGCCCTGGGTGAACCCATCGGAAACCTTTGCCAGGCAGCTGATGTTCAATGATTTGGTGACTGCTCCGCCATTCTGCTGGATGATGTGTTTCCATAAGACTGTTTATCCCACGGGGGAGGGAAGAGAAACCCAAAAACATGTGAGGGAGTGGGAAAAGAGGGATCTGGCTAATCGCTTTGAACCAAAAGTGCTATCCGGGAAGGAAAATGGAAATCTAGAAAATCAGTGCAATCAACAAAACCAAAAGATTTGAATCTCTCTCTCTCTCTCTCTCTCCCCATACTCCACATCTATCTATCTATCTATCTATCTATCTATCTATCTATCTATCTATCTATCTATCTATCTATCTATCTATCTATCTATCTATCTATCTATCTGTGTGTCTAGACTACAGGTTTTTTTTTAAAAAAGTGGCCTTTTTTTCAAAAAAACTTCCCCTCCATCTAGACTGCTGCTGTGTTCTTTCGAAAGTAAATCGAAAGAACATGGCTGTTTTTCGAACCGCAGAAAACCTCGTTTTACAAGGAACAACTCCTTCTTTCGGAAGTGCTCTTTCAAAAAAAGGCGCTATGTCATGCAAACTGTGCTTTTTTGAATGAGAGCATCCAGACTGCCCAGGTGCTCTCTTTTGAAAAAAGCAGCTTGCTTTTTCGAAAATACTGATTGTAGTCTAGACGCTCTTTTTCGAAAGACGCTTTTTCAAAAATATCTTTGAAAAAGCCTCTTTCAAAAGAGGCTTGCAGTCTAGACATAGCCTATATGCACTCTGTATATACGGGGGGAATACACAATTTAAATAAGCATATTTTAATCGACTGTTTATATATCTGTGTGTGCATCTATCTAGACATACACATAACATGGTCAGATTTTTAAACCCAGGTGGTTAAAGTTAGTCACCTACATCTATAGCATGCTTTGAATAGGTGTTGTGTGTGCAAATTCCACTACTGTCCATGAAAGGTACCAGGGCTCATTGCTGTGCTTTAGGTGTCATGGTCCCGATCCTCCAAAGACTTGGGCACATGTCTAAAATAACATCGGTGTCTTTGCGGGCTTGAGGCTCTTCTGTAAACTCTATGGTGCAAACTCTCATGCCTTTGTCTTTTAGTGTGCAGCCTCTGGAGGACAGGGACCATATTTTTCGTACTGCAGAAAGGGCCTAGTGCTTTGTGGGTGCCAGGAAAATATCGCATCTATCCCAAAGTCATGCTGTTTCCCATCATTATACACCAATAGATCCCACAGATTCTTAGAATAATAGAACCCTAGGGCTGGAAGAGACCTCAGGAGGTCATCAAGTCCAGCCCCCTGCTAAAAACAGGACCAACCCCAACTTAGTCATCCCAGCCAGGGCTCTGTCAAGCCAGGACTTACATATACCCCTAGAAAGTCTTTTTAAAATATGTCCTTTGTCTGAAAAGTGAAACAAATGAAAATAGTGACTTAGAAAAATTGTGTACTGAAGATTGCAGTTGTTGTAGTGCAGTATGGTAGTGCAGTATGTGCCAAATCCAGGATCTGTGTTTGAAGACAGTACATGGCATAATCATATGCGTGGGGAGAGTTACAATTATGAGACCATGTAAGAGAAAAAGTTGCTTCACCTCCCCTTCTATTGTAACGGAGATATTATGGACTTGGTCTCATAACCACTGACTTCCTTTTTCATTCTAGAAAACTGTGTTCTTCACCTTAATTTATACCTAGTCTCCATAACTATTGGCTGAATCACTGATTCATGATAGGGAAATTGGTATGTGCAGCACAGAACACTTATTGTGTTTCTCTGTGTTATGCAACGCAGCTTGAACCTTAGGTGAGGATCATGAATAGGAAGTGAAACTGATACACATCATGGCTAATATGAGATCTCCAGACGTAATGACGGCTATTGTGTATTTGCTGCTCCCATACGGGGTATAAACCAAAGCTTGTGTGCAATAGGAAAATGGACGGGTTATAGTGCACATGTGCAGTGTGAGCAGCTGTAGTTGTGAACGTGTGGTGTTTTAAGGCTGTTAGAAATCAGCTATCGAAATTCCATGTGAGCTCTGAAACGGGGGGACTAGGCAACAGGAAAGTGCTCAAGCATGTTACAAGATTTCCTACAGTTGTAAGTCTGATCTCACGAATAAACTAAAAAAACAACAAATAGTCTAGTAGATTGGCCCTCATAAGGGGCTATTTTGAAATAGCGGAAGTGGAGCATCTACACAGCCCCTATTCTGAAATAACTATTTCAGAATAAGCATTATTCTTCGTAGAATGAGGTTTACAGAAGTCAGAATAAGCTGTCCATTATTTCAAAATTATTTTGAAATAACGGAATTGACGTGTATACGCTCACATAGTTATTTCGGAATAACAGACGTTATTCTGAAATAACTTTCCTGCATAGACACACCCTTAGAGAGCTCAAAATAATAGTCCAAGTCCAGATTCAATATATCTTACACCTCAGTACATAATATGACGCACAGCCACAGGAGAATAAAACTTTTTTAATGATACTGATTTTTAAAAAAAATTGTTTTATACCATAATGTTAACTGAAAATCTCAGTGTACCTAAATGTACACTGATGAAGTGGGTCTTTGCCCACGAAAGCTTATGCTCTAATAAATCTGTTAGTCTATAAAGTTTCACAGGACTTCTCTCTATAAATGCACACTGTATATGAGTTCAGTTTAAATAATAAGAACATAAGAACGACCATACCACATCAGACCAAAGGTCCATCTAGCCGAGTATCCTGTCTTCCAACAGTGGCCAATGCAAGGTACCCCAGCGGGAGTAAAGAGAACAGGGAATCATCATGTGATCCCTCTCCTGTCGCCCATTCCCAGCCTCTGACAAACAGAGGCCAGGGACACCATCCCTACCCATCCTGGCTAATAGCCATTGACGGACCTCACCTCCATGAATTTATCTAGTTCTTTTTTGAGCCCTGATATAGTCCTGGTTTTCATGTTCTGAAAATAGCTGGAAAAAGGCATTCCCTCCAGTGGCATGTTATTCCTTTAGCATGTGTTCATATAAACAGTTGATCTTGTTAAAGAGCAACTGCCACGTGGATTTAATATACTTGCCAAATCTCGACGCATAGTCTGGCCTGGGAATTAGAATGATTTTCTGGTAAACTCTGCAGAAAGGTCGGAGGTCGGCGTCAAAGGGCCGTCGGGTAGTACCCACAATCAGGACTCTGTCCTCGGCTTTCACATTCTTCAGGATCTTGGGGAGATTCTTCTTCAGACGTTTGGGTTCCATCTTCAGGAGCAGAGATACGGGAGAGAAGTGAAATGTTAGCACCGAGGCGGTAGGGCTAAGCAAGTGAAATGACATTCCTCTGCTCTAGGTGAAGAAGGCCGAACGGCTCTGCGGTCAACGGTGCATTTACATTTACACTTAGGCTACGTCTACACTGCGCATTGTTGCACAATACGATATGCAAATGCGGCACAGGGATGAATATCGCCGTGCCTCATTTGCATACCTAAGAAGCTGCCATTTTTGCGGCACGGGCTTATGCATGAGAATGAGCTGTCTGGCTTCTGCTCCTTCTTGCACAAAAAAACCCCCTCTTGCGCAGAGCCATTCTGCCGCTTATTTTCAGGAAGAATGGCTCTGCGCAAGAGGGGTTTTTTGCACAAGGAGGAGCAGTGCAGACAGCTCCTTCTTGCGCAAAAGCCCGTGCTGCAAAATGGAGGCTTATTAGATATGCAAATGAGGCTCGGCGATATTCATCCCCGCAGCTCATTTGCATATCTTATTGCGCAACAATGCACAGTGTAGACGTAGCCCTTAGTGTAAAGAGCAGAGAAACTCAGCATAAGTGGGACTAAGATAAGCCTTTTGCCTCCTGGTGAAGTCTGGCTCTTGCAAGTCAAGTCAGCTCTTAATTTCTACTCTGAATTTGTGATTTTTGACTGGCAGTGTTTCTCTGTTTCAGCTGTGGACCTTGACTAATGGAAAAGCAGCACGGAAGGAAGGCAGGCACTTTTATTTATTTTTTTAAAAATCCCTTTAATATCTGCTGGAGTGGTGCGTTCTTGGCTAATTTCAATACCAAGGAAACTGCTTGGATCTGTAATGGTTGCTCTTGGAGATCTAGAATTACAAACAAGCAGCTGGGTTTCCAATAAGTAGACTCCTTACATCCTGCCATGGCTTTGGCTTAGCCAGGCTCCAAGACCATAAGCCTCAATACTTAGCTGTGTGGACTTAGTTCACAGTCCAGTTTTATTATAGCTATTATATCTCTAATTCATTAGCAGAGCCCTTCAGAGTTGATTCGTTGCAGCGGTGTGACGGTACCTTTAAAATTCATAAAATGAATACAGATAAAAAAGAATCAGCTCTGCAAAGCAGAGGATTGAGACAAACATATGAAAAGGGCCTCAGAGATTTGAGAGGCAAAGTTCCATTTTCAAAGGACACCGAGGGTCACATATTTAAAGGCATTTCAGCACCCAAAGGGCATTTAGGAGCCTAAATCTCATGGAAAGTCACTGGGTCTTAGGCTCCTAAGTCCCTTTTGAAAATTTGACTCTGGGTTTCCTTGTTTTTACGTCAGGCAGCAACATGGGAGACCTCCGCTTAGCTCTGGATTCAGCCGTCCATAGTGCCCCCATGGAGGTACAGTATGTGCTTTGAGGTAGCTGAGTTTCAAGGATGGACCGTACCCTGCCTTGTGAGTGCCCTGTTCAGGCAAAATGATTCATCTCCTTGTACCAACTGCTGCTGAAAGGAAGGACGTGCGTATTGTTTGGATTAAAAGGCACAAAGGAGGAAAAATAAAGAAATGAAAGAAAACTCCAAACAATCACGGGGCAGAGGAAATACCATTTTCTCCTAGTTTAATTAGTTAATATTCTCTCTTTTTCTAAGCCGTTCTTCAACGTCACACCAAGAGTCTAGTTCTTAGAATGATTAATAATATTAGAACTGGAGTGTTAGTAGGCAACACAGCTTAGTGGTCTGAAAAAGGGACTTCAAACCACAATCTCCTGAGTTCTTTATCCCAGCTGAGTCACTGATTAATTAGATGGCTTTCGGGGAGAGATTTCACTGCTCTGGTCCAGTTCATACTAGCCAGACTGTCACTGAAAGCACTTCTTAAAATAAAGGTTTGAGCTACCCGTGCAGACTGGCCAAATGTAGTTGTGTTAAAAAGGGTTTGTAGCCAATTAACGCTGTCTGCACAACTGCCCAATATTTAAAGGGCTTTGCAACTAGTAGAGACATTTGGATTTTTACTTGCCTATCTTGTAAGGAGGGTGGAAAGTGTCCCTAATGTGAGTGAAGTGTTTTGAAGATGAAAACTGCTATGTGAGAGAATGATCATTACTAAACGGCCCTACCTTGGCTCTGAAATTAGCACCACACTGAAATGAATGTCAGAGGGTAAACTACTGCTACAGGTTAGAGATCTTGGTTTATAGGCCGCTAGTACATTACTCCTACTGGGAGGAGTATGTTGACAACAGGAATTGTCAGGTAATTAACAACAACCAAATTTTCTCCTCTTCTCTTTCCTATAGACCTTGCAGTAAGTCTTAATAACATTATGTTCATTTTTTTGTTAGAGGTAGTAGCTTTCTGGCTTTCCAGGGATTCAGCGTCCGCATCCATAACAGAGTGCTGATGGTGTACCATTTCAGTGTGAAGCCTAGAAAGCCTGTTTGGCATTAGTGTGTCTCCCGCTCCTGTTACGCATTTGAAAACGACACATGTCCAGTATATTGTAGGGATCTATACTGAAAGCGAATAATACTCCCGTTCACTTAAAAGAAAAGTGTCTGTCTTCCACATCCAAAATGAGGTGTATTCTGAAGGTGCCCCACGTTCCTGAAGAAAGACAGGCACTACATTGCTTGCCCAGCACCCTTAGTGGTCACCCTAACAGATTTAAAACCTCACTGTCTGGCTGTCCATTCGGGGAAGGCAGGAATGGACTGACACTGAAAAGAGGAAGGCAACAGAGGTCAGTTTTATAATGGCCCTTCCACAAAATATAAAGTTTCTGTGATCAGAGTCTAAGCCCTTTGTGCCAAAATCAGGAACAACTGGCTCTCAGTGAGTGTGTTTGTATCCAAAGGCAGAATTGAGCTGACTGCCTCCTGCTGCTTTACTGCTTTCTGTCCCTTGTTTTCCTTGATTCCTTTTTTTTCCTGTGCTGTCATTACTGTTGGGAGCTCTCTTACCAAAGCCTGCTCAGACTGCGTGTTCATGCGAATAGGAGGAGCGTAGCTGGTTCGGAATGTGGGATACAGCTGGTGCTGCTTGTGCACCAGTGGGACTAGACAAGTGAGCTCAGCCCTGTGGCCTATCTATTTCCACTTATGTGCAGATCTGAGTGCAAGTCATACAACTGTTCCTAGCACTGCCTTTGCGAAGTAATATCTGGACAGAATTCTTCCCTCCAGGGCGCACAGACTGCTGTTAATGAAGCCACTTGACAAAAACAATGAACACTAGAGGTGGTGTTTGTCCCACAGTCTTCCTTACAATCGTGGATGCGGCAAGATTTAAGAAGCAGGGAATCATTTGCTTTCAGTATGGTGTGTCAGCCACTAGAGGGCATCCGTCACCATGTACACAAGTCATAAAATAAGCTACCTAAACAGCTTATGAAAAGTCAGGCTGATCTAAGCTGTTAGTGGGGCATTAGTATTGCAATATCCCCCCCCCCCTTCAAAAATACAAACTACCTTTTAAAAATGGTTCAGTTTGACACCATGTCAAAAGACTCAGTTGTGGTTGAGGTCCTGAAAGCTTTGTGAAGGGAATGAGTTTTTCACGTGTGACCCTGTTTGCTGTGTGCCAATTGCTCTATATGAAGCACAGTGAGTTTCTGCATGTTTTTACTTTTCTCTTCCTGTGGGACATTGCTGATTAGGGGAAGGAAAGAAAGTTATTAAAACTGGAATCCCAGAGAGTAAATAAAAATTCTGTAGATGTAACTGTTCGACCTGTACTTTTGGGTTTTACAGTACAGCTTGATCTTTGTTCTCTTTTTATTCATCCCAGCTTCCTCAGATCGCTAACATGAAGAAAGCTGAATTATTTAAGCTTGTCTGAATTCTTAGTTTTTTCCTTCGTATTTTTTTAGGTCTCCCCTATGTTTTGCGTATTTCTTTCATTGCGATTTCACTTTCTGAAACACCAGCACTCATGAGCACTGGGAAAATTACTTTTAAATAAGGCAAGCTTAGGTGTACAGGGAGATGCGACTTCTTCAAGAGCTCATGAAAGGTCAAGAGACTTGCTTGAAACACGTAAAAGTGAGACAAGCTATTATCAAGCGGGTGTCGGCAGGTCTGACCATAGTGCTACACGTTACGCTGGCAAAGGCCCCTATTCCTTTGGGTTGGGTCTAAATGAGGATCGGTTTGGAAATCAAACAGGTGCACCTCACCTCTTTTTCAGACTTGGGCACTCTTTTGTAGAATGTTTTTTCTGTGTCTCCAATCCAGATGACAGAAGGCTGGAGCTGCTTAGCCACCTAGGGGAAAAGAGAGGAAATATACTGAAGTTAATTAGAATGGCTAAAATTTCAAACCTGCAAGCAGGAACTTCCTATTATGGTGGCTAAATCTCCCCAAATAATTCCCTGTCTTTGTAGGCACCTTGGACATCGGTGCTCCTTGCTCCTTCCTAGTCTCTGCTTGTGGCACACAGTAGCCTCATCTCCGGAGGGCAATCCAGGGATAAGTGGTGGGGTAGAGTAGCCTGTGATGGGCAGGCAGCCAAAAAAAGACGATCTCTTATCAGAGATAAAATCTGGATCAACATGCACATTTTGGCACTCCCCCCCCACTCTCAAAGTGCTGAGTGCTTGCATTTGCCCTTGGCTTTATTGGCGAACCCTTTTTTTTTTTTGGCAGAGCATGCCCCTTTTATTTCGGAATCCAATGTAATGGACTCAGCGTGGCCAATCTCACGTTAAACTCGATACCAAACTCTTGGCACGTTGAGGTGAGGTGCTCTATATTTTATTTGTGCCACGGAAGGTTGGTCCCACAGTGTGACATGATAGATTTCAGCCAAAGAGGGTCAGGAGTAAGGTCAGCATTCACAAGGCATTGCATAAGTGACAGCTAGGCTAAGAGCTAAAATATATAAGTTTTGGTGTGCCTATTCCTGTGTTCTCCACATCAAAACTTGGACGTACTACACCTCTGGCTCACAGCAGGGTGGCAGCAATGCTACAGGCTTTTTCGTAACGACACTCCCGATTGCTATAGCAACCCTCATGGTTTAGGAATCCTGCTGCCAAGTATTAATCACATTGCAGTTGTTGCTGCCCTGGCTCCGTTGGATTGCTCAGTGACAGATGTGCCGGCTGTATGAGTGAATTGTAACTAGGATTCGTTTTTCTGCCGTGCTTCTTTCTTGTTCCATTCCACTGAGTCAGCTGATGCTGTTGCTCCTGGGAAGGAGGATGTAAACAGCAGAAGCTTGTATGCATCATGCTAATGTATGATTAATGGCCATTCCAGGATGTAAAGTCCCTGGGAGGTGAGCAACCATGGTTCAAGTTCCTCTTCCAAAGTAGGCAAGGCAGGGATTTCCCGCATCCATCAAGCACCACTCCCCCTTTCTTTCTTTTTTTTGAAAGGTCTCATTTTCATTCTGCATCGGAACAAAACAATTTTCAAAGGCTTGGAATATTTTTGGACATGGAACAATTTTCCAGCCAACCATAGCAATAGCCGTTCTTTTGAAGGCACCATTAGCTTAGGGTTGGGCATTGCAGCGGCACTGACAAATAGTAGAAAATTGTTGTTTCAAGTGGATTTCTAAACATATATTGGCCCTTATTTGCTGCTTATGGTTCCAAGAGGACATGATGCAATTGTAGACGTGCAATACTGCCAATGAGGGCAGGGGACTGGACTCGATGACCTCTCAAGGTCCCTTCCAGTTCTAGTGTTCTATGAATTCTTCAGTGGAAATAATCCATCAGTTCTGGAAAATATTATGTGATAACCCTCAGTTTGTGGCTTGAACAGCTCTCTTTTAAGTGAGGAAATAGAAATCTTCACTCATCTGGAAAGCATGAGCTAAAATGTTGAGTTCGAACACTGAAGATTTATTTCGGATAAAGAGACTGGAGTGATAAATGACTATATGTAAATGCCGCCAAAACGTCATTGCGCACTGATAGGCAGGTACTGGTTATCTATTTACCTACATGTATAATTAGAGAGACGAAGTGTAAAGAGCGATCACATAGCATAGGGAGTAAATAACTTGCACGAACGGCTAACAGTATAAAATTATACAGCAATAGGGGGTCTTAAATCTGGCTTCTCCATTTTCAGTTATATTTTGAGCCCTCCGGAACTTGCACCCCTACTGCTGGGATACATTTACAAAGCACTCTTTGGTCTTTATCATTTTTGTAGCAGAATGGCAGACTTGTATCTTTATTGCACTGTAGGTGAATGGCAGATTTGGGAATGCAGAGCTCTTTGGCTGAGTCATCTTGTTATGGGGAGTTTGAGATCTGCAGAGATTGCTGCATCATACTAACAGGCAGATTTAGCTAACTCCCAGCCAGGTATGGCTAACTCCCAGCCAGGAGCTGAGAAAATCAAGACCTGGGACAGAGGTCATACAGGGAAAAACTCTGCACTTGGACAAGCTTGGGGAAGAAAAATGTTGGCTGAAGTCTAAGTTGTTAGTATTGCGAAAGCCAAAGCTCCTTAAAAGGGTCATGCAGTCTACGTAGGTAATCTATGCAGAGAAGTGCAGGAGCTCTGCATGCACTATTTGGGGGTACTAGATGATCTTTACTCTCCCTCCTCACACGATGGTTGTACAATACACCACTTTTTAGCCAGAGATACTCAAACCCTCAGCAAGCTCTATGCAATTCACCTAGCACCTTCTGGGGACTTCAGCGATAGCCTGGGCTTCCAACTACAGAGGCACTCATGGACTGCTCTTTCCATGCACCCTTGCGTATAGAGCAGCAGTGAGCAAAAAGTGGCCGAAGGGCTGAGTTCTTCAGAAGCTCCCATGCTAGCTGTGGTCCCATGGGCGTGGACACGCATACTTACGTCTTACCCAGCCCTGTGGTTTTGGGGATGTTCTCTGGGATCCCACAAGGGCCTTTCCTGCTAGCAAAGAAGTCTCCCACCAGATCGGCTCAATATTCGTTCCGCAGCAGGGTCGTTGGAGGTGTGAGGCACATGTCTTCCCTCCTTGCGTGGCTCCGATGCGCCATTTGGGACTTGCACCTGTGGCCCAGCTTTGCTCTGCTAACGAGGCTATGGGCTCACTTTAGTCTGTGTGACCTTTTGCCTCCTTTTGTCACTCCCGTTCCTCTTTTTCTCTCCTATTTTCCCCCATTGTTGAAGCTAACTGAAACCACGGCGGTGAGCGAACCTACTTTCTACCCGCTCGTGAATAAAACAGGTGCTTTAATGAGCTCTGCTTTCTAATTCATAGCAATGAACTGTGAATGACGGGAGGCACGGAGCATGGAGCAGCAGAATTCCACATCTATGCTAATGTGACACGATCCAGCACACTGCTTTTGTGCTAATTAAAAAAAAATCAGACACCCATAATCCATTGGTACCTAATTTAAATTATTGGCCGATATGGAGCAGACTGTACGCCCCCCCAAAAGTGCTTTAGTTGAATTATCCCTGGGCAGTTTGAATCCATGGATAATTAAATGCACTGCACATAATTAATTTATAATTGAAATGTTATTAGCATTGCTGCATTCAACAATTTGACAAAGTCACCAGCAGATGGCTCCTTAACCCTTCTAATCCTGAAGTACGTTGGCCACAGCATTTGATAAAAATGGATCTTCATTGTAGTTTCAGCTACAAATCCAATGTACATTAATCACAAAAAGATTCTTTTGCTGTAACTCTTGCTCTTTCTGACCATCTCCGTTAGTCAAAGATCCGTACAATCTGTAGATCTGACTGTGTGTTTTTCATGGCAAGTTCCCTTGCATGAGCCCAATCCGGACGAGGCTGTCTTGCATTTCTGAGTTGAACCAGAACAGAAAGTAACTGGTAAGGGGATTTTGTTGGGTGTAAGGGGTGATTAAGCACTGTGGTTCTGTGGCTCCATGATTCTGTTGTCCCCGTTTTGTCTTAGAGCTGTTATTTCGGTTATACTGCAGACGGTCCCAAATGTGTGAGGTTGACTAGAACGAGAATGTGGAAAACATAAAACTGAATTCCTTTAACAAATACTGGTTTTATAGATGATATAGTTTGGCTTGCTAGAGAGAATGTGTAATAATAAAACCTTCTAAGAGATTGATTTTTATTATATATTAACTTTAGGAGATAAAACACGCTAAATCTGCTTCCTTCCTTGGAAGTGATCATATGTGCATTCTGTTTGATTTTTGACAAGATTCATTCTTTCCTGACTAGAACCTTTTCATAGGTTTTCCTTTTCGGCAGGCTTCATTACATCAGGCAAAAGAGATGACCCGTTTGACTGATGGAATAAAAGTCTAATCAGTGTTTTAGTCTAGTTGGGGAGTATTTCACAGCAGTGAAATATTTAGCTTACAGGACTTTTTTTTTACTCACAATGTTTCAATAGAAGCAGAACTATTGTGTGCACTGTTCACTCTACTGACTTTGTGCTTGAACCGAGTTGCTTATGAAAACACGCCTACCCTACACCCCCCCGCCCTGTATTTCCTCTGGACGCTTGCTCTGCAATGCTGTTGCAATGCCAGTTGTTGTATTCTTTGCCTCAGAGTTGTGGCTTCCAAACTCCCTGCCGTTCATACAGTGATGACTTATAGCTTTCCCCCGGCTCTTTCCTGCAGCCGTTTCTAAGCTGCCTCCGCTGACCTTTTATTTGTCAGCGAAATCAGATTATTTCTGCCCTGGAAAACGTGGTGTAAGGAGCTGCATGCTGACGAAATGTGCGCGTGTTTAAAAAGCGTCCGTGGACGCAACTGGGGCCCAACTCCGCTGGCAGAGACTGGCGGAGCTCCAGTGACATAAGTGGGGCGCTATGCATGGAAAATGCTTATATGCAAAGTACTCCGCTGTGGGCTGGGTTCTGTGCAGGGGAGTCAAGTGGGCGTGGCCAGCCGCTATTGCTGGAGTAGACCCTGGCTGCCCAGTCTCCTCTTCGTATCCCCTCCCCCCGCCCAAGGCTTCTTCTCTTTCCATGAAGCTTGTGTGGAGCCCGGCTGGGGAGGGAGCCTGGGCCGTTGGCGGGTCCATGCGCATGGCTGTCACACCTGCCCACAGTACGGGGGTGGCGGGGGCTGAGAGCAGCCCTTCGCCTGTGTCCCCTGCCCCTTGGGCTTTTGGCTTGGCCCTGGGCAGGTGGATGTGGAAGCTGCCGTGCAGCTTTGTTCCTGACCCAGCTCCAGCTGCGGGGGTGGGGAGGTCATAGCAAGAGCCCAGCCATGGGAAGAGACATGCAGGCAGCTGTGGGGCATGCGGACACTCCAGCTGCCCTGGGTGGGAGGCCTGAGGGGCAGGGACATGAGCCGAGGGCTTCTCTTGGCAGGTACCTGCAGTGTGGGTAGATGGAGAGTGAGCTGTAGTTTCCCCACAGCTGCCTGGGCTGGGCTGCGGCTCTGAGGCTCCTCCTGGCCAGAGCCGGGTTGGAGAGCCATGCGGGCATCTGTGGGGAGCCTGCGTCCCTCCACCTGTGCCAGGATAGGGGTTTGGGGGTGGGGCATGGGCAGGGGGCTTCTTTTGGACCCCCCACTCGGAGTGGAGGAGCGGGCTCTCCAGCCTCACTGCAGTATCTAACCTGGCTGGGGCAGGACCTGTGGGGGAGCAGGAAGGGTGAGGGTGGACCTTTGGGGAAGGAAAACATTCTCGGGGTGAGGTTTTTCACTTTAGGGAAGGCTCCCTCACCCTTGATGTGAAGAATTAGATTAATTTCAGGCACTACTGGGATACCATTGAATATCAGATGGAGACCCTTTCTCTTTACTCGGGCCAGATCTACACTACAGCTGAAGGTCGGCTTCAGGCATGAAATTGCAGCTACGTAAACAATGAAGCTGGAGTCGATGTAACTTAAGCTGATCCTCAGTGTCATCCTCACAGAAAAACTCTCATGTACTTCTCTTACTCCTCGCGCCAATAGGGGTGCCCTCAGTGTTCAATTTAGCAGGTCTTCACTAGACCCACTAAATCGAATGCCAGAAGATGGACCGCCACAGTGTTGATCTTCACTGCAGTCTAGACATGGTCTCTGAAACAGATCACCATACTCTATACTTCCCTGTGAGAACACACATGCTCATTCTTTGACACACACAACTTCCTCAGTAATGTTGCTGTTGAATATTAATCATTCATTTGTTTTTCTGTAAAGACAGAGCGAAATTTCAGTGTTTTCTCACTAAGGTAAATTAGGTCATTTCCTTTAAATTATATTCCAAGTGACAGTTTTTAATAACAGGAGTCCCTTTTTGGTCAGAGCTGGTTTGTATCTTGTAATAGAGCCCTCCCAAAAATAATTAGACCAAAGAGGGTTTGGATTTTTGCATCTGAAACAAATTAAAGTCTCATTTTTTTCCCTACGTGGTTCTCTTGTTTAGGATGTCTCCTGTGAAATGCCTGCCATCACCCAACAGTTCAGTTATGGATAGAAAATTTCCTAATGGTCATTTCATGCTCTCTAGAGTTTAATTTAGTTACCAAAACTCCTTCGTTTGTGGGAGTTATTGGTAATCCAGAGTTCTAGGTTACTTCACCTTCATCATAAGGCGCCATAAATCCATATTTAGTAAATCTAATGGCTACATGGACCATATAATAACATGAGAAATAGCTATTGCCCTGTTTCCTGTAATTTACTCACAATTAGAAGTAGACGATTTTTATTTTGTTTGGCTAACGCAAAACAAGGCTCAGTGGCCGTAATGCCTTCTCTGGCACCGTGGTCAGGACAGCAGCCGCTGTGGCTTGCAAAATTTAGAACGGAAGCTTTCTGTTTCATCTCATCTGAGGAAGTGGGTTATGCCCACGAAAGCTCGTGATCCTGTGTATATGTTTGTTAGTCCCACAGGACTGCTCATTGATTTACATCTAACCAGACAGCAAGGTAGTGGGGAGCCATTTGTAGTAACTCTGGGGCAAGAAATGTGCACCCCCCATTAGCCAGCATTATTTGACTATGCTTTGCATCTTGAAGACATCATCCTGAGTGAAGTAAACAGAAACACAGCACAGAATACTGAAGGTAACTCAAAGCTCATTCAAGAGGTGACATGGAAAAACCTTGTTACGTCAAGCGATTTCCTTTGGGGCATTAAATCCTCCACAGTGGTGAACCGGTTAGTTGTCAGCAAATTATTCTGAGGAAATTTGAAAGCCATGAGGGAGCTTGAAATCTGGGCCGAGTCTCGTTTTGACCTACGATAGTTTTGCCTTTTTTTTTTTTGGTGTACTCCAACTCTGGTTCTTGGCTTTATTTAAAACCTAGAGCAACTGGCTTTTTGAAGGCCTACTCTTTGAAGTTGAGCAAACGGGCATACAGTGATTTATCCTCCACAAGGGGAAGTGGGATGAAATGTGGACACTTCAAGGGCACTGTACACTCTTAGGGTATGTCTACACTACCACCCTAGTTTGAACTAGGGTGGTTAATGTAGTCAATTGAAGTTGCAAATGAAGCCCGGGATTTAAGCCGGTTCCCGCCATTTTTAAATCCCCGGTAGTTCGGACTCCATGCCCGCGGCTACACACAGCACAGAGTAGGTAGTTCGAATTAGGCTTCCACGAGGAGTAACGGTAGTTCGAATTAGCCTAATTCGAACTACCTACTCCGTGCCGTGTGTAGCCATGGGCACGGAGTCCGAACTACCAGGGATTTAAAAATGGCGGCGCCCGGCAAGATGCAAATGAAGCCCGGGATATTTAAATCCCGGGCTTCGTTTGCAACTCCGGTTACCTACATTACCACCCTACTTCGAACTAGGGTGGTAGTGTAGACATACCTCCAGTGATTCATGGACTGAAAGGCCAGAAGGAACTGGTAGATCTCCTACCTTGAACACCATGTGGAGCATCATTTGTAGACCACTCTTGCCCGGATATTTCCCAGCAATGTTAGAAGCAGACAAATTGAAGAGATTGGCTCCCGTTTCCGTGCAGAGGGCATGCACTAGCATTTTCTTTCCTACTCCGGTGGGGCCAGCTAGCAATAGAGTTTTCACCAAAGGAGCCTTCTCATGCACTGCTTGAGAACCTATAAAAAGTAATAAGGCCCCATTATTGCTTTCGTTAAAGGCTGCCATAAATGTAATGGTGAATGATTCTTCCTTTTTTCTTTCTGATAAATATTTCATCATGTGAACTCTTCATCTCACTAACAGAGCAAGCGATGGAGAATTCACTTTAGAGCTGTAGAATATGTTAGCTTTTGTGCGTGGCAGGAAAACCAATAGCACTGAGCTTATTTTAATTGTGACTTTCAGCAAAATTCTTCTCAGGTCCAGGGCGAAGGTTTTACTATCCTTAACACTGGATCCAGGTTGTAACAGGCTAAGGAGCATTGAAATGGAAAGAAGAAACATAGTTACAAGCGTGACACTGTGTACAGTACACATCTGCCTTCAATTACACCAAAACTGTTAATTCTCCCTGTTGGCTGTCAGGCAGATGTCTGGTTGTAGGCTTACCTGTGGTCTAATTTAAAAGAGGAGACAGACAGAGCTGTTCCCCCACTTTATAATTGGACAAGGGGAGGAAATTCCTGTCTACGTTAAAATAGCAGAACCCCTTACCCATGCCAAAAATGACATTTTCCAGCTTCCATCAGAAAACAAAGCTATTGGAATATTTTCCCCATCAAGATTCATTAGTAATTTAAAACCAGATATCATCAGTCTTTCTTTCACCCCTCACAAGCCGGCTTTGGAGGATTTTCTCCTGATTGTATTTCTGCTTCTAGTAAGCGTGGGAGAGAGTCTGACTCGGCGGTTGGAGGAGTGGAATGTATCTGATGGAGTGAAGCGATGACAGTGTCAAGGAGCAGGTTGTGGTGGGTGTTGGCGGTGGGTGTTGCTTGCTACAGCTCTCACCGTCGCTCTTTCCAGTTGAAACGCTTCAGCGCGGAAAGCCACGCGCTTGCCTGTTCTACCCTGAGAGTTGAATCAGTGAGTCTTGTCACAGCCCCATGGGCAGGGTGCCTGCACTGTCTCAACAGAGCCACAGAAAGCAAGTTAGCGGGTGAGGGGCAATGACACATGCCTTTGTGCGGCTCTGGCTGCGACGGCCCAGACTGGGTTTTGCATCGTGGCCTCCTGTGGAAAGCTACCAAAGGGGAAGAGGCCTGAATGAAAAGAGGGAGCCTGAGACCAGAAAAGGAAGGGCCAAGAACCTCTGACTCTTCGACATTGTTGGTTGCCACCCCAGACAGTCCCGGCCTTAGAGCAAGGTGAGTGAGGCGGTTGCCTTGGGCCCCACATATTCAGGGCCCCGCGCTACCCAGCTCCCAGCCCTGCCCTTCTGGCCGCTCACTTGCTGCCCTGACTGGGAGCCACGCAGCCATGTGGCTCAGCCACATTGCTTTGGGCCCCGCAACCTCTTTGGCCGGGCCTGCCCCCACACACTTCCTTGAGGAGAATCTCTGTCCCGGGGAGTGAGCTCACCCAAGGGGCCAGTTTCTGCTGCGCTTCTGGACATTGTTTTAGCCAGGGCTTTACTCCACTGACTGACTGGCGAGCTCATCAGTCAGGCGGGAAAAGGGCTTAATGCTCTGATGGGAAAGTGCTGCTGCGAGAGGTGCAGGTCAGAGTCCTCCCCTTGTTGAGAGCCCAATGCTGCAAGGTGCAGTGGGACAGAGGCTGCCTTCCTCTGCATTGCCCCTTGCGCGGAGTGCGGGTGGGACTGGAGAAAGGCACCGCAGAGAGCTGGGAAATGCTGGGGAGGAGGCAGGTCCCAGCATCTGTGCTGTGGTGGACAAAGCCACAGAAATATTTGTTAATTGGAGGGATGCTGTAAGAAAGTAGAATCTAGGCTGTAAACTTGAAAGCAAACGTACAAATTGCCTCTCTGGGTGGCCCAGTGAAATCAGAGACTTTTCCTTATCGCATAAAAATGCGTAGAGATTACCGCTCCAAACTAATGTGAAGAGCTTTGCCTCTCTTCACATGCTGAGAGTTTGCCAACTTTCTGCCTGCCAGTCCAGAAGGTGGGAGCACACTGAGCCCTGACACTAGGGA